AAATTCACGAAGATAATATATAGAAGTACTTGCAATATTAGGAAACTTCTGAGCCAATTTTCCTAAACCTTCTAAGCATATTAACAGTAAAGGCATGTGCGCTAGTACAAGTTTTGGGCCATGATTAGAATTAATCTTTTCAACAAGACGACCACATAAACTATCAGCACCTGGAAACAAAAGTAATAATATACTTTTAATAATTTCTGCTATCATAGATAAATAGTTAATTAGTTATTTCTATATGAAATATCTAAGGATTAAACATAAAATGTTTATCTAAACATTACTTGAATGATTATTTGATAATCGAATATCATACGCAAAATGCTTTTAGTTAAGCAGTTTCTAATATTAATTCTTTTATATATGAACATTGATAAAATATATCAAAATATTCTTTGATTGCAATAAAATATTATATTTATGTATGAAAATGCATAAAACAATCAATCATACTGCACACAGAAATAATAGGCAATAGGAACACCGCAATATAGTATTGCTGCGGCAGGGAATGTTTATATTAAACTGGTATATTAAATGTTATCATGTAAACAGAATAGTTAATAAAATAGAAACACAAGGGGTAAACAAGAATACCCTCGCCGAGCAGCATAGAACTGATATCCGCGAACAGTGCGGATGTATCATACTCCCCGCTCACTGCAAAAATACCGTATAATAATGTTTTACTTACAATATTTGTTGTAACTATATATACATATATATATGTAAGATTGTGTAGCAACAATTATCCTTGTTTTTAATGAATTCTTCTTAATAAAGTTTCGTTAATGACTTAAAATAAATGTAATTTTTATTGTTTATAATCTTTTGTTATTATTTAAAAAGTAAATAAAAAAGGAAATTAAAAAGTTTAAATAAATTGTCATATCACATACTTATGAAGAAAGTAATATAACTTAAAAAATTGTTTTCCAGTAGGAACAAAAAACTCTTCTTGAATATAATTAAATTAGACATTATATAACTTGAAAATCGTGTTTTTTGAGTTTTGTTACTTTCATCGCGTGTGCGATATGTATCATTATAAAATGTAGCATTAAGAAAAAGATAATATATACTATGTAGATAATTTTAATAAATTCATATAAATAAACGAAAACTAAAATTTAATTGTATTTTTATGATTACAATTTACTTTAGAGTGAGAAGTAAGTGTAATAATATATATCAGAGACTTGCAAAGTTGATTTGTGCCTTTTATCCTTATTCTTTTTTTTTATTTCTCTTTGGTCACATCACAATATTATTGAATTATTTGCTGCAAGTATAGCATGTAGATGATCAACTAGTAATAGTGGAAGAATTATTTCTCCTTTACCAAATTGCAGTTTGTATGTCTCTGATATACATAAACACATTACATTTGAATGTAAAATACTTTTTACAATGAAGCTTTTAATCTACATGTGCCTTTTTAAAACATGCATTTATGTGTGTACAAGATATTATAATACATTCCTGTTATTAGTATTTTGTAGTTACCATACATTATATATAAAAAATTATTTACGTACCAGTTTCATCTCCAATGGCCCAAACAAGAAGATCAACACATGCAGAATTTGCCATGACATTAACTTTAAATCTATTTACTGTCCGAAAATTAGTATCTACATCTTCTCGTTCACTAGCATCATGTTGTCTAGATTGCAATTCTGTCTGTCCTGACAAGAAAAGGCCTTTAACAAATTCTTGTACATCTCTTGTAAATGGAGCAGGTAAATCACGTTGATTTTGTAATAATTCTCGCAAAACTGCTACCATAACTAAATTCATGGTTTCACTGAATGTGCGATATGGAAATATTTGTACTTGACCAGAATTATAAACCTATAAAAATAATAATTCAATAAATATAAATTTATGAAGAAGTTAAAGTATATATATATATAAGTATATTTAAATAATTAAGAGGAAATTACTTTCAAAAAAAATTATTCTAGAATTATTGAAATTTATGAAGTACCAAAATAATGTGAAAATACTAACTTGTTGAGCTTCTTCATCGAGAAATGTAAGAATGTCTTTAGTAAGTAGCTTTTTAGCTAATGCTAGAACACTTTGTAAATGCACTACATTAAATTGCATTGCAGCCCTTTTTTCAGGACTTTCATTACATCGCATTTGTGGAAATTGATTAAAACTGGATCCATATCTACTGAAAAAGTATGTAACTGGATCATATGGCACAGATGAAAAAGACTGTAATGATGGTCTCTTGATACATGTATAATCAGAATCAGCAATTAGCAATGCTGGATTATTATCAACCGGTGGATAAGGATTTAGGTTTCCACTAAGAGACCTTGGAATAATTGGACGAAAATTTGAAAAACTATATTGTTTTTTATCTGATGTTAAACGTGTTTCTGTATTAGTAAAAGAAACTGGAGTTTCAGGCCGTGGAAAGATACGACAAAGCAATGGTGGATCTGTACATGCGAAACGACCCATAGACCTTGCTAGCCCAATAAGTACTGGAACTAGACACTTGCATAAAGACACTGTGAAAAAAATATAAATTTATAAACATATATTTTTATGAACAATGAATATCTAAGGAAATACATTTGCTTGAAGAAATCTTACATTTTGCTTGCATACCCCTATTTCCATTTTGTTCTTTATAACCACGTATCAGATTGGTTAAAACAGCTAATATCTCAATCTGCGTAGAAATAATTTCTTCACGAGCTGATTCACATCTGGCAGCTACATCACTTAGCAATGTATTCAAACAAAAACTAAAACGTTCTGCAACAGGAACTCTTTCACTGGGTGAAACTCTAACTTCATCCAGCCAAACAGCTTTTGGAAGACCACGTAATAACCGTAAAAAATATGGTAAAATACGATCCCGATGTTGTAATCCTGATTCCAAAAAATATATTCCCAATGCAATAGTTGCATCTTGTCCACGTTGATCTAAACGATATATTCCTTGAGCAGTTTCTTGAGGACATAATTTAAATAAACGAGTTACCTGCATTAAAGGAAATAAACATTAAATGAAATTATCTTAAAATATGAATTTCTTCTAATTTTTTATTTATTTTTAATTTTAATTTACATGTAATTTTATTTTAAATTTTATTTAAATAATAGAATATATTAAATTTCACTTAAATTTGATAATATATACTTATAACAAAAAAGAAATAAGAGAAATTATACAATTTAAAGAACGTGTATATGTAGACATAAATCAATTGAACATAAATTAATTTAAGTATAACTTAAATATATTAAGTACAACTTAATATATTTAGAATGATATAAATTTAATTCATCCATAACAGTATGTAAAATTTATCTTATATATAATAAAAAATCTGCTTATTTTTTTATTGTAAAAAAATACATAGTCACTTTATAATAACATATTATGTAATATTATAACAGGTAACAGTAATTAATGAAAGACATTAATTACATCATGTATAGTAAGAAGCAATAATAATAGTAGTGATGGTATCTCAATTGAGATATTTTTTTCATTGAAATCCTTTTACTACCTATCTTATTCATAAGTATATTTACACATAAACGTATTTGAATTACAAAATTATATCTTTAATACATATAGCAATGATCATAAAGCAGTAATTATAAAAACATACTGCTTATTATAACATAAAAAAATGACAGAATAATAGGAAGAAAAAATCTAAACACAAAAAGGATAAAATTAAGCATTGTACTTGTTTTTGAATAAGTTGTCTCATATTATATCACAGAACAATGACAACTTAAAATGTTATTGAGAAAAGAGAAAAAAAAAAGATTATTTTTAAATAAAAGTTAAGTTAAAAATTGCTTTATAGATTTAATTTATATTTAAACGATTAGATATAATAAAATAATAAAGAATTCACTTTAATTTTTAATAAAAATGATTTTACTCTCATAGAGAGAAACATGTCATTTTAACATTACTGAATAATATTATAAAGCAAAAGATATTGACCATAAAAAGAAATATATATATATATATATATGAAACAATACTGTAAGGATCTTTATAAAATAAATTTACCTTTTCCCACGGTGTAGGTTTAATTGCAGCAAGGCATCTAGCCAAATGTTGTACAGCTTTTGAGAAAAACAACTTCTCGTCCGCCACCATTTTGCCCAGAATCACTTACACCTCTTCTTATATCATGTAGTTATGAATAATCTCGTTCATTCATTATCTCAAAATGCTATTGCATTGTTACAAGTGCTTACGCTTGTGTCATCAGACGACGTAAGACTACTTTGACATATATGTATTTATTAGGATAACATGATAACGTATGAGAAAATAAAACCCTAGATATTAACTAGAAAATAAATTAGATATTAATGAGAAAATAAAAAATCCTAGATATTAAAGAAGCATATTAATAAAGAAGAATATTAGAGTGCATCAATCGCATATAAAAATAATTTCACATTTATTTCTAATAATATTAATTTTTATCAATTTAAAAATATTAAATCCAAAAAAGTTTGATCTATTTTAAGTATTTTAAAGTAATTAAATCATTGTGTGCTGTATACGCAAATAATGTGAATTATAGAGTATATTTTAATGTTTTGTCAAATTTTTATATAGTAATTTTGACGTTTGAAATGTTTTTGAGAAACGTGTGATCTGCGAGACATCTAGCGGAGAACTAAAAGAAATTTTCCCATTGTATTTGATTCTACATTTTTATTATAAGCATGCATATTGTTTCAATCTGGATTCGTTATGTGTTTTATATGTTAAAAATAAAACGTGAGAAGATTGAATGAGATAATAATAAGAATATATGTAAAAAGTTAAAATACTTCTGATTATTATAAATAATGTCATTATAAACAATGTCATTATAACTTATTTTTATTTGTGTATTTAAAATAATTAAAATATTTTGATGATATAAATATTTTAAAGTAAACCATTTTCCTTTATGTTTTCTTAATATTAATTATAAAGAATTAATATTAATATATATATATATATGTATATATATGTGTATGTGTATATATATATTATAATTGTAATTATGGCAAAAGTTATAACGAAGAAAAAGAAATTGAAGAGATTGTCCACTAAGGAAGAGCTGGAGCTTTCTGATAAATCGGTATAATTTATTTTCTGAGATTTCTTAAATTTTGCTATATAGTCTATATGGTAAATGTTTTTTTTTAACGTTTTAGGAATTAATAGATAAAATATTGCAATTAGAAGCTTATAATATGCAGCTTCAAATGATACTTAGAAAAACTGAAACAAATGAAATGGAACAAACGAAATGTCTTAATAAGAATCAAAAACAGTTTGATTTTACAAAGTATGCGACATAAAGTATTTCCCATTTCAATTTAATTGAAATATAAAATAAAATAGAAATACTTGAAGTATTTAATTCAATTAATTGATTGCAGGTGTCACAAAAGGCATATTTTATTAAAATTGTACTACTTAGGTTGGGATTATGATGGTTTTACATGTCAAGAAGGAAATAATAATACTATTGAACATCATTTATTTTCTGCTTTAATAAAAAGTTGTTGTATAGAGTCTCGTGAAAAAGCAAATTATCATCGCTGTGGTAGAACAGATAAAGGTGTCAGTGCATTCTCTCAAGTAATTAGCTTAGATGTACGTAGCAAATTGAATCCTGAGAAACAAAGTGATTTACAAAATGAATTGTCATATTGTAAGATATTAAATCGATTACTTCCTCAAAATATAAGATGCATAGCTTGGAGCCCAATTCCAAGTGATTTCTCTGCTAGATTTAATTGCAAAGATAGGACATATAAATATATTTTTCCTAGAGGAAAATTAAATATTGATGCCATGAATAAAGCCGCTAAATATACTATAGGCACGCATGATTTTCGAAATATTTGTAAAATGGATGTTGCCAATGGTGTGATAAATTTTAAAAGAAGAATAATTGATGCTACAGTTTCTGTAAAACAAAATGATTATACAAATAATTCAGGTAATGTAGTAATATATTAAAATTTGTCATGATAATTAACTAAAACATTACCTTAAAAGAAAGTAGTTCAATTTTTAATTTCATATTTATTTTAATAGGATACGATCTGTGTGAATTAAAAATAACAAGTCAAGCTTTTCTTTGGCATCAAATACGTTGTTTAATGGGAGTATTATTACTAGTTGGTCAAGAAAAAGAAAAACCAGAAATTATTTTAAACTTACTTGATATCGATAGCTATCCATGTAAACCTCAATACAATCTAGCTTGTGAAATTCCTTTAAATCTTTATCACTCGGAATATGAAAATATCAAATGGTTCTATGATGAAGATGAATTAATAAAGGTTATACAAATTTTACAACAAGACTGGTCGATAAACACTGTGAAGTATGTATTTATTACTAGAATGAAACGTTTTTTGCTTATTGTAATTTAATATTTGAATTTAAACAGATCAGCTATGATCAAAGATATGTTAATGGATTTAGAAAGTTTACAAAATTGTACAGATACAACATTTCAAAATGATTGTTTACTTCTTGGTGTGCATTCAAAAGTTTATCAACCTTTAATGAAAAGAGTAACTTGTGGTAAGTAGTTTATATATTGTTATTATTTAATATTTTGTGATTTTAATGTCAGATAATATTGTATGTTATATAATTTTTGCAGAAAGTTTAGAAAACAGGATAAAACATTACCAGAAAAAAGGTAAATTTGAATCAATGAATTTAAGTAATATGTAATACTTATAATTATCATTATTTTAGTAAGAAATGTAATCTTTGAAAAAAAAATGAAACTAAATGCAGTTATATCTATTTTCAATATGCCAAACTTGTACCTTTACATTTGATAATTACAGATTATTTATTCTATTAATCTTTACATTTTTACATTGATCTATTGTATAGATTAGATTCTATTGTTGTTAATGTTGATGAAGTTGTAATGTCATTAGGAATCTCAGGTGAAGTTTCCATTTGTAATAAGATTATCAGAAAGGTTGTAATACCTTTAAAAAACTAATCATTTTTTTAATCACAATAAGTCGAACATTTTTATGATACTTTTATATGGAATACTTAAATAGAAAGATAAAATCTAAGAGACATACCTGTCGAATAAATTTGTAACCATATTCGTAAAAACCAAATGCGGAAAATTTCAATCGCTTATAAGTCATTTCGGATATGAATTGAAAAACCTTATAAAAATAAAATTTAAATGTTATAATACAATTGTTAGAGATTGTGATAGTGGAATAATTAATTATAGACTATTAGCTTAATTAACGATAATAATCTAGAATATTTTAAATTGCGAATAACTTACCTCTTCGCGTATTGTAATATGAAAGGAATCCATTACTTTCTGAATAAGTACTTGCGTCCTATTTGCCTATTATTATCAATGATTAATAATATTAAATAGATTCTATATCTATTTAATTATTCATCTTTATATCATCAATATATCAAGTATTATTTTTTAATATTACCTCAGCCTTAACTATCTCGCATATATAATTAATTGAGAGTAATTTGATTATATAAAATGTACTCCATATAACAATATCTAAGACACTCTTTATCCTATCCGATTCCCAAGTATGTAAATTAGTAAATGCATAATACAATTCGCAAATTAAGCCTATTTCGCAAATAAAGAAAGATATCATCTCTAAAAGTATTGCTGCTCCAAATATTGTATTTAAATCATCACATATTGTACTCAATTCCAGATGAATATGCCTATAAGAGAAATGATTAATTTCTTATTTAATTATAGGAAAATTTTTTTTAATTGGATTTTTTTTTCCTGAATTCGATCGTTTCTAAAAATAAATACGATTTCGTTTCTTTTTTTTCTTTTTCATAGATCATGTTAAATAAAAATTTATATTACATATTATAATGAGAATCTTTTTGCAAAAAAAAAAAATTACGCGTGATAATGTGTATATTAGTTTTACATAGCTTTACATTGTTATCCATATATCGAAACTCTTGAAATCGTTTGTAACTCCATTTCCTCGCAATCCTTCGTTAATATTTATTGCATTAGAATAATTTGTTGTACTTGTCGTAATCTCTTCAGACATTATTTTTGTAGAGCGATGTTTACATATCTTACAACGTTGAGTTATATATTCATTTAACTTACAGAATCTAGTTCTTTCATATCTGCATTTAAATATAATATTAAGCGATAAATTATGTTTGTGTATTTATTTAATGCATTTAATTATGTGCTTGTACATTAATACGTGTTTTATCAATTTGTTTTATCTTAAGATATTGAATTACGAATACGTACAACAAAAGAATGATGAATATAAGATCCAAAATCGTGTTGTTATGAATGGGCTGATTAATTAAGCATGTAATAATAATTCTCGACATATCGATTACTTTTACATGTAAGAAAAGTTCGGAAAGGTTCAATAAAACAACTGTTACGAGCCATCCTATAACGACGAATATCATTAATATTCGTACATTTTTATATTCCGTTTGAAAACCAAGTCCTTTCAAAGTATCATCGAGCGCAGTCATCCTTTTCAAACAATTTGCAAGTTTCTTGAAAAAAAAAAGAGAGAAAAAAAAGAAAAGAAAAAAAAATTAAAATAATAACAAAACAATAGAAGTGAATCTTCCTTGTTATGAGATAAAATTTTAAAAGATTTAACGATAAGATTTTATATAAAGTAAAAAAAGTAATGTTAAAATCTATAAAAGATACCGTACTTTGCTGTTGTACAGGCAGAAGACCATCGACGTAATCGTTGTGATCATGTTGAAGTGAAGAACGATAATGGATGCGATATTATCAAATAAAATATTAAATAAGCTAGAATTGAAGAGATATTTGAAAAATGTGAAGTAACCGATCCACCAACACAATATATATATAATGTTAATATAAATGATAAATTTGTACGTAGGATATTCAATAATGATTATTCCGAGTATAGAGCCGGTAAGCAAAAGAGGAAAAAATGCTTGTTTAAGATTTTCGATCATGGCTTTACCGTTTTGTCTTAACGATGGTAGACTAACTTGAAGACTGACAGACTAACGTCGGCTAACACATCCTACTTTACGGTTTATCGATATCCTTGTGATATCAATCGCAATTACGTATATCGTGGCACTTGCGTCCTATCATGAATTATACGTCTTTTGTAATTTCGTAGAATATACCTATTAATTCGTTGTTCATTACGAGACATATCATGTCACATTTTGAAAGACATGACATGTTTTTATCCACATAAAGAAATGTCTTTTCTTTTTTTTCTTCTTCTTCGAAAAAAAAAATATAGATAAAAATTGTCTGACCAATTTATGACGTATGAGATGCTCGTGTTTAAGGGCTTTAGATTGATTAATACTTTGACATAAATTAAATTTTATTTTCTATTTTGTAGAATAGTTAAATGACGTTCATAAGAATTCTTTCATCCTACAATAATATCGTGATATAGTACAATAAAAGGAGAAATGTTCGAGAATGAATGCCAGATTCTAATTGTAAGTATATATATATATATATATATATATATATATATATATATATATATATATATACAACACCATTGGCATCATCAGGAGAGAGTATAAATTGCAAGATGCCAACCAGGTTGCAGTAGGCGTTATACGTGGTTGCGATTATTGATCGCGGTCAGCATTCTTCATAATGAAAAATTAAAAATAATACGGATACGTACTAATTTAAAAAAATCGGAGATTATTATGAAGACTAAAACGATATAAGAATAATTAACTTTTTATAAAAATGAAAACGAGAAAGAGTATATAATAAATATCTTATTGGAAGCATGATATGGCATAATACTTTCTTATTCATTTTTAAAAGGTCTTAGAATGAGATCGATAGTAAATGAATTAGCATTCGTCTTGAGTTTAACTCGTTAAAGGTTACAATCGGTCGAATTAATCGATTGTAATTACGTTGCATTGTTACAACGTCGCGATTATACGCCCATAGTGATTTGATAATCAGATTATAGGCATTAAACAGTCATTGAGAGACAAATTTCACTCTTTATTTCATTTCATCGCTTTGATTTCAACGAGAGCTATTATAGAAAGTGAATATTATTATATTATAAATTATTTTCTATTACAATGGACGTCTTAGGATTAATTTTAAGAAAATTTTAAATTCGCAATTAAATCAAAAGCAATTTTCGTGATAGTAAATCAATTATATAAAATATTTTCTTAAATATTTGGCTCAGCCAATTTGTTGTTAGAATCGAAACGTACTTGTACAAATAAATACATGTAAATAGATTTTTAAGTAAACGTAATAATTCGTATAGTATATTGAAAGAAAATTAAAAAGAAAAAAAAAAGACAAAAAAAAGAATTTGATTTCTCTCAAAAAAGTTGTATAGCAAGTCTACGTTATTCACGATGACGATCATTTAAGACATTCCCTGTGGTCATACCTAAAAACTAATAAATAATAGAAATGAACTTAGATTTTGGCCAACATGGCGTATCGTGTTGAAACTACTTTGCATGTTATTTATGCAATCGGCATTATCCCACTGTGTATTAATAGCAGATGCGATCTCATAAAAATTTACCGGACGTCCCGTTCGTTACGTTCTTTGTTCGTTATGACGAAATGGAGTTCCCCTTGATTTCCCCATAAAGCGATGGGAATAATTTGATATTTCATTCAATTCGGCACATACATATATACATACATACAACTATGTTACGCGATATTATGGCACATTGTGATCTCAATAGGTTTGCTATCGTGAAAGGATATCGCGCTGAGGAACAATTTTATTTCTTTCTTTCTTTCTTTCTTTTTTTCTTTTCTTTTTTCTTTTTTTTTCTTTTCTCTTTATCATGTATTAAGCATTACATAACAATGACATAAACACATCGAGTTAATGTTACTCAGATGTGTTGAGAAGCTGCATCAAAGGATCAAGGTGAATTTTTATCTTCTAACTGGTTTCTCATGTAACGTATATACTTTGTTACAAAAGTGATATTTCTTTTTTCTTTTTATTTTTATTTTTATTTTTATTTTTTTTATCTTTATTATTTTTATTTTTTTTATTTTATTTATTTTCTTTATTTTTTTTTATTTTTTTTATTTTTTTTATTTTTTTTTTTAATAGAAAAGAGAATTTTTCCCGTTTAGATAGAGTGCAATATCTTTCGATTCGAAAAAAAAAGAAAGAAAAAAATAAAAATAAACGAGATAACAATAAAGTCGTGGATTTTTTTTTAAAAATGTCTTGCCAAAATTTATTGTAGGATCAAGAAGTCGGGATGAAAAGTGACGGGGATAGTATCGTATTGCGAGTAAAGCATACGTTTCTCACATAAGTGTTGGTATGGATCAAAATGATGGTTCCCGTTCTTCTGGGTAAACCGCAACTATCATCCTTTTCCTTCACTTTCTGTGTGGGTTATTCGTCCGTGTGCGAAGTCCATCAAGTAGAGACAGTAGTATATATATATATACATATATATGTACATTATGTATATACCATACTATGCGTTAGTTGGTACGTGGGAGGACAAAGACTTGAATTTCTTACTTAACTTTTGAGGGTCAAGTCGAGTAAAGAAGACATTCCTTGGTAATAAACCTATAGATATTTGCACATATAATATATATATATATATATACATATATATATATATATTAAAAATAATTTAATTTAATATAATTTAATATGTACTTTGATTATAAATCATTCTTTAAAAGAGATATATTTGTATATTATAAAATTGTCACATTAGATTTTGATTAAAGATATACAAATTTAAAACAAATGAAACAAATTTTTTTCTGTATGTGTCCTCATTATAAAAGAAAAAAAAAAGAAAATGTATTATGATATTATTAACTATATATAAAAATTATGCTATTATACAATTTATTAGATGATGTCTTGAAACATCGAACACTCACATATTCTTTTTATTTTCGTAATATATTTAAAATGTTTCATTCTCTTTTATTGCAATCAAGAATTTAGATTAAAAATCTTTGTTTCTAAGATACTCAAGGTACTAAGCAGTATTGATAACCTCTTTATACAAGTACATAGAGTATATTTTCATTCTCTAAGATAATTCCGATGCGTGGGAGGACGAAGACATGAATTTCTTACTCAACTTTTGAGGGTCAAGTCGAGTTAAGAAGACATTCTTTTATATGATTTTACAATCCTTACGTTTAATTCACGTTAATTCTGCAGCTTTAATTGTACCAACTATATTCATAATTAAGACAATCAAATTTCTACATTTTTTTTTTTCGTTGTATTTCTTTCTTTCTTTGTACACTTTGTACGTCTTTCTTTCAATTCAATTCAATTCAATTCAATTCAATTGAACAAACCATCAACTTTTTTTCTATTTTATTTACAACGCTTTTATTTGGCTTTTTAATTTTATTATTGTTTTTCATTGATTAATTAAATTATATGCACAGCAAAGAAAAATTTGTCATATCAATTTCATCAAATCTGACGAAATTTAAATAAAAAAGCAAAGAAAAAAAATAAAGCGGATTATAAAAGTTTACTATTTTCTAGCAAACGATTAATTTTTTATGATAGTCAAAGTTTCGATAAAGATAGACCGTAGTAATGTGTTATATGTTGCATTGACTCTTCTGCATATGTATCTTGTTTTTCCACTGTTACGGCAAACCACGGAAACGTTTTGTCACTCCATTCTCAAGACGGATCATTCTTTAGCCAACCTCCAGTCGAGACATGCAACAAATGAGATTTTGCAACAGCGAAGAACGTTAGGACATACTGGATAAAATACCGAGTGTTGGTTCTACTTTTTTTTTTTTTTTATGTTTTCTTACATTTGTCTTATTATTTTGTTGGATTAATATTTAAATGCAAATAGATTTTAACTTTTCTAATATCCACCCTGATATTTCCCTTTGCGATGACATACTTAGATGCATCGTAATTAAATTATTGATTGATTAAAAGATTTCGAAGAGAAATATAATAGTTATATATATGAGTCGTTTATTTTGAAAGTGGCCTAACTCCATTTGTCAATTTTTTCCGGTTGCTATAATTATATGTACAACTTTATCTTATTTATCAGTAAAGCATTTCAGATTGCTTATATTCCGAGCAAATACGATAATTCTTGACACATAAGTTTTCAGAGTTAGTTCAATAATTTAACCGTTTATTTTGAAAGTGGCCTAACTCCATTTATACTTAAATCAATGAATGAAAATGAAAATTTTAAAGTCCTAAATTTATTACCACGTCGGGGTAGATCAAGAAAGTTCAAAAATATTGTATTGACACCACTGTATAAAAATATCAGACAAATTAGAACAGCAGAATTTAAGGACATAATAATTGACCTATTACGATATATACCAACGGAACATCATGATTTCTTCAAATTCCTTTTACACACACAAAATCTAGATGAATAATAAATTGTTTTGTAATAAATTTATGTTTGTAATTTCGTACGTTATGTAGTTAAAAAATGTTTGGAATCGCTTAAATTATGTTTTCGAAGTATTTTAAAGATATGTAAAATAAATTGAGTATTGTTTTTTTCAATTTGAAGCATCTTAAATTATGTTGAATGGACTTAGGCACCTTCAAATTTTATAATGAATCTGATTGTTAATTTTGAAAGTGGCCTAACTCCATTCTTGATAAGAAAACGCATATTATTCACTTAATAATTGCCACTATTTTAATAGGAACTATAAATTTAACACCCTTAGATACACTTAAGTAGTATAACTCATTAGTATGCTATACGTATATTTTTAATAAAAATAGTTTCACACACGAACACAAAATTTCAACTTCATTATGATTTCTGATCTACTCGCGTTCACTTTATGGTATTACAATTGCGTTAACTTTTATGGGATTTTCATGTAAACCTTTGAAAAAGAACGTATTTTCAAGATCTTTGGATTTTTCCAATTTGATAAGAGAAAAATGTTTCGATGAAAGGAAAAAATATCTTGAACTTTTTTATTTAGTTAATTATAAATGATTGATGCGTCCTTAACATTTTCAACATATGCGTATCTTTTTCTGTCTTATAATCAAGCGTCGCTGCTATGATCGAGATTGTATTTTAACATATCTTGGGAGTTATGGTTGAAATAATGAGTACCGCTCGACTGGCTATCGGTGCTACAGCACTGAATCATCGCTCGACTCGTTACTACTCATTGTCAGTAGTACTGCTCGATCGATTTAACGATCCTCTGATCATTCTAAGATTAAATGTTTTATTAACAAAAGAAAAGTGATGGATACTAACAGATGATAATGCATAAGATAAAATGATGAATATTAAGAAACACCAAAAAAAAAGTAAATAAATAAATAAATAAAG